AAAAATGTCCCACAGCACAGATCCGTGGGGTACTTACTCCCCCAGGGACCTCCTTCCAAAGTGACATTGAGCTTTTAATGACTATTCTTGAAGTCTGTTCATGCAACTGGTTCAGAGTCTGCCTGTGTTAACGTCTAGCCTACCTCTTTCCATTTTGTGCACAAAGAGAACGTGAGAAACCTGGTCAAGTACTTTACTAAAATCTAGGCAAAGTATGTCATTCCCTGATCAACTAGTCTATTAACCCTGTGAAAGAAGGAAATGAGGCTAGTCTGGCACAATCTGCTCTTGATGAAGCCGGGCTGGCTCTTTGCCATCACCACCTTCCCTTTCTAGACATCACTAGCCATCCCTTTAATAATATGCACTGATTTTTCTCCAGGAACTGAAATCACACTCACTGACCTATAGGTTCCACTCACTTCTCTCCTTTGAAAACCCAAACATCAGCCGCCCCTCTGAAATCTTGCCTCATCTCTCTTATTCTCAATAGTCTTTCAAAGAACATGAATAGTGATTCAGCCATCATATCTACCAGTTAGTTCTAGCTCTACCTGGTCTGTAGGGTTTTCTGGGCCTTGTGACTTGAATCTATCAAGGGCAGCTAGGTGAGCTCTTACTCTACATCCCTACTTAGATCTTGAATATCACTCCCTAGAAGTCATTTTGATTTCATGTTTTCCAGTCCAAATAATGTCTGGACTTGGCAAAGAAAACTGAAGCAAAAGAAATCATTGTCCCCCAGCGACTGTCCTAGCTTTTCTTGGACCACCACCCTCCCTCCAACTATAGCTAAAACTAAACAATCCTACCTTGTTGGCCGTCCTTAGCATCTTGCTCACCCTCCCCTCACCCTGAGCTCCTACATTCTTGTCATCATTCATATAAGACTGTTCAAAATTCTATCTTCTCTTCATCCTTGCTGGAAAGAAGAGCCTCAGTCCTCTGTTACTCTTGCCAAGACCTGTTGTGGGCAACTCCTATGACAAACTACCCAAGACAGTCGTCGACTCACTCTTTCTCATATCATTTAGTATACTCTCCTTCTCTCCTGAGCATTCTTTCCTCTCGGCTTTTGGGGCATTGTTCTCCCATGTTTCTCCCAACCATTTTTAAAAATTTTTTTTTTAGACAATTGGGGTTAAATGACTTGCCCAGGGTCACACAGTTAAGTGTCAAGTATTTGGTCTGAGGCCAGATTTGAACTCAGGTTCTCCTAACTTCAGGGCCGGTGCTCTATCCACTGCACCACCTAGCTGCCCCTCTCCTAACCATTTGACCATCCCTTTTCCTTCTTTGCTAGAACATCATTCTCTTCCCATACCTAAGTATAGGTATCCAGCAACACTAAGGCCCTCTTCTCTTTCTCCTCTCCCTTGGTGTAATCATCCCGTCCCATGGGTTCAGTTTATCATCCCAGATGACACCCAGATCTCTATAACCCTTGTCTCTCTCCTGAATTCCATTCCCACCTTACCAACTTTTTGCTAGACTTCTTCACCTTTATGTTCCATAGGCATCTCAAACTCAATACATCTGAAACAGAATTCATTGGATTTTTTTCCAAAAAAGCCATCCTTCCTGTAGACCACCCTATTTCTGTTAAGGAAACTACCCTACTTCCATCACTGAGGTTCACAACCTCGGAATCATCCTTAAGTCAAACAATCAACAATCATTTATTGAGCTTCTGTTATGTGCTGTGTTCTGGGGATGCAAAGATGAAAATGAAATAGTTCCTGCCCTCAAGAAGCTTACACTTTATCAGGGGAAGCATCATATACATATATAAGTAGGTATAAAAATATATGCAAAGCAAATCCAATATAATTTCAAGGGGAGGACAAGAATCAGAGAGGAATGAACAAGGATTTTTTGAGTGCCTACTACTATTACTACTATTACTACTACTACTACCACCACCACCATCACCACTACTACTGCTACTACTACTACTAATAATAATAATAATAACTAACATTTACATAGTGCCTACTAGGTGCCAGGCACTGTGCTAAGTACTACCACTATTACTACTACTACTTCTACTATTACTACTACCACTACTGCCACAACCAATAATAATAATAACTAACATTTATATAGTGCCTACATGCTAGGCATTGTGCTAAGTGCTCTATTACTACTACTACTACTACTACTACTACTAATAATAATAATAATAATAATAATAATAATAATAATAACTAACATTTATATACTGGCTACTATGTGCCAGGCACTATGCTAAGTGCTTTACTACTACTACTACTACTACTACTACTACTACTACTACTACTACTACTACTACCACCACCACCACCATCACCACCACTACTACTATTACTACTACTACTACTACTGTTATTAATAATAATAAAAATAATAATAATTAACATTTATATAGTGCCTACTAGGTGCCAGGCAATATCTCATTTGATCCTCACAACAACCCTGTGAGGTTGGTGCTATTATTACTCCCATTTTACAGATGAGGAAATTGAAGCAGACAATAGCTAGGTGACTTACCCAGGGTCACACAGCTAGTAAGTGTCTGAGACTGGATTTGAATTCAGGCTTTCCTGACTCCAGGTCTAGCACTCTATCCATTGTGCCACCTCGCTGCCTTTAGGCAAAGCCTTCCTGTAGGAGGTGGCTAAAAGCTGAGCTTTTAGTATCTAAGGGGTTCTGAGAGGCCTAGTGGGGAGGGAGTCGATTCCATGGGAGCATGGGAGACAGACTGTGCAAAAAAAATTTAGAATCAGAACACTTGGCAGGTGATTAGATGGTGGAGAGAAGTAAAGAAGAAGGAGCTTATTAGCCTGGATGAATGGAAGGGTGGGGGCGCCCTTGACAGAAATCGGGAAGTTCAGAAGAAGATGGATTGTGGAGGGGGGGAGGGAAAGATCACAAGTTGTACATCAGACAGATTGAGTTTAAGGTGCCCACATGGACATCCATTTGGAAATGCCCTTGACTCTCAAGCTCTACCTTTCTTGCTTCTCACCTAGACTATTGCAATGGCATCCCCATCATTCCCATGCTCCTCTTCTCTCCCCTCTATCTTCCACACAGTTGCCAAATTGATATTCCTAAAATAGATATGACCATGCCAGGCCCCTTCTCAAAAATCTTCACTTCATCCAACTCCGACTCTTTATTGCCTCTAAGAAAAAATATAGGGGCAGCTAGGTGGCGCAGTGGATAGAAGCACCAGCCTTGGAGTTGGGAGGACCTGAGTTCAAATCCAGCCTCAGACACATGACACTTACTAGCTGTGTGACCCTGGGCAAGTCACTTAACCCTGATTGCCACACCAAAAAGCAAAAAAAAAAAAAGAAAAACATAAAATCCTTAATTTAGCATTTAACTCCCTCCTCCCATCTAGCTCCTACCTACCTTCCCAGTCTTATACTGATTGCCTTTGCCCACGGTCCATTCCAGTTTAACTGGTCAACTAGCTGTTGCCTGTACATGGCATACCATCTCCCATCTCCACACATGGGCACAGGTGGTCTTTCCCATCTGAAGTAAGCTTCTTCTTCGCCTCTGCTTTTTGGAATCCCTGGTTCCCTTCAGAGTTCAGGTAACACTTCCAACAGAGGACCTTTCTTATTTTCCCTCCACACACCCCAGTTATTATTCTTTCCTTTTAAAAATTACTTTGCATGTAATTTGTGTTTATCTGTATACGTGTTGTATCTCCTTGAGAGAAGAGATCATTTTATTTTTGTCTTTGTATTACCAGCACCTTGCTCGATGCCTGGCACATAGTAGATGCTTGAAAGTATTTGTCAAATCCAAGTGAAGATACAGGCATTTAGTTATAGCGTGACTTTGGACATCACACAGCTAAAGTTGGTCTCAGTCTAATAAGTTATTTTATGTAACTGATGGCTACTGTCCTCATCAGAGCTGTTGTTGAATCCAGTGAAGTGATTCATGGTACTTGATTTGATTCCTGTGATTTCATTGACGTAGGAAACTCATGGTGAGCAACTGTTCTGTAACGTATAGTCTTAGAACACTGAGTGAGACGTTAAGTAACTCACCCAAGGTCACTCGGCCAGTACATGTCAGAGATGGGCCTTGAACCCAGGTATTCCTGCCTCCAAGGCCAGCAGCCCACATTCTTTTGGCATGTGGCAATCCCTTAATAAATGCTTTCCCCATCTGCCTACCTATAAAACAGCCCCTATTGAGGACAGAAACTACAAATTCAGTAAATGACCATTGACTTGGAAATAGAATTTTCAACTTGGGTATATTTGTCAACATATTGACCATGGATCGCTGAGCCTGTGGAAGTACTGAAAGGCTGTGATATGACTGGGATCAGATGGGGTTAACCAGGGAAGGTTGGCAGAGAGGGTAGTGGTTTGACCCAGGATTAGAGGTGGCCGGAAGAAAACGTAGATGGCACATGAGGAATAAAACCTTCCCATCCCCATTCAATCCCTAGAATGTTTGCTTTCTCTTAATAGGGTGGAATTTGCATAGCAACCCTCTAGAGACTGGTTAGGTCTTCTAGGCACTATGCCTGCAATTTGAGCAGCTGCCACCCGGTGGGCGGAAAGTCAGAGTGCTTTGCTATTTAGGCTCTTCCCACCCTGGGAATGAGTTGTTGAATCCTAGAGTATTTAACATAGTATCTAGTCAAGATGGCTTTTCCCACAAAAATGGCATGCAGCTTGTAAAACAACACCACAAATAAGCTATCAGAACACTATATTTGCTAAGTAATAAATGGACTGGCAATATGGTGCAGAGCTTAGGGAAATAAAACACCTAAGTACAAGCAGTACCTTCTCTTATTAGAGTCAACTGTTACCAGTCACTAACAATTAAGTCTCTTCTATTCTAAGGAAGGCCTTTAAATCCTTTCGATGCTCGTAGCTTCGGCCATGGCGAGTGCTACGTATCCCAGTACTGTGTATCTTAATCGAGCCATTCCCAGTACATTTTCTTCACGCGTCTTTTCCACTATCTCCCTACTACAGGTGGCTTCAGCAAATTCCAAGCTGAGTGGCCACAACTCTGCAAAACGAAGCTTGATGGCCCCTGTGCCAGTAACTCACTAGTGCCTGTTCCAGCACCTGTGGTGGGCCTGGGAGGCCTGTGCCTCAGCTCAGACTGCTCAGATGCTGAATCAGACCCAGACCGGGACACACTGAGCTACAGTCTGGAGTCCGAGGGTGGGAGCCCTCCACCACCAGGACACCCTCCATCCTTACCTGTTCAAATTCTCCCCAACCTCTACCTGGGCAGTGCTCAGGACTCAGCCAACATGGACATGCTGGCCAAGCTGGGCATCCGTTACATCCTCAATGTTACCCCCAACCTACCCAATCTCTTTGAAAAGGACGGCGACATCCACTACAAGCAGATCCCCATCTCTGACCACTGGAGCCAGAACCTCTCCCAGTTTTTCCCAGAGGCTATTGACTTTATTGGTGAGTTGTTCTTAACCAGAGATACCCCTACCTTCACACTGCGCGCACACACACCCCCCCCAGACTCACACCTTATTCTGTATCTCCCTATTTCCTTTTCTCTTCTCCCTTCAGTATTCCCTGTCTACCCACATGCTTAGATGTGGGACAATCAATTGTGTCAGCTCCTTTGGCCCACCTTCATACCTGCCTATACCAACATATCTATATGTCTGTCACTCTCTCTCCTTTTCCCATTTTCTCATCTGTCTTCCTCCCTTTCTCCTTTTTCTCTCTTTCCTTCTCTCTGTCCTCCCTCCCTTGTCTCTCTCCCTTTTATTGTTTCCTAGAGAACTCACATCCACAAAATGCTGAAAGAGTAATACAGTGTTAAACCTCATGACATTAAATGTAATGGGAGTTCAGAGAGAGGCCAGAATACTGACCCGAGGTAGTGTCCTGGGGACATGAGATTTGAACTGGGCCTTGAAGGATGGGAAGGATCTCAGATAAGAGGGCAATGACAGAAAAACATTCCAGGTGAGGGATAATAGTGTAGGAAAAGGCCAGTCAGGAAGGAGCTAGAGCTGAGGGAGTGGGATGTTGAGGACAGCAGTGGGGGATAAAAAGTGAAAACAGATGATGAAGGAAAGAGAGATCTTAGGATTCTATAGCTAAAGCTGGAAAGGACCTCCAAGGCTACTGAGTCTAATCCTCTCATTTTATGGAGGAAGAAACTGAGGCCCAGAGAGGGGAAGGATCCCAAATCTAGAGTCAGAAGGGATCTTTGAGCTCATCTAGTTCAACCCCCTCATTTTGTGGGGGAGGAAACTGAGGTCCAAGGAGTGGATTGGCCCAGGGTCACAGAGATAGCAGAACTGGGGTTTAATTACAATTCCTACCCTCACTTGACTTGGAAAAGCTGAAGGGATGGCAATCTGTATTGGGGAATGGAAGGCCCCACATGAATGTACTGAAGTAAGAAGATATACTCAGTAACAATCATCTGGAGAGCATTTAGAAAGATAAAAATGGCCACCCATTCTAAATCCATTGTCATTGACACTGGATGTCCAAAATAGGCCTAGTTTGAGTTTCCAAGCTGGAAAATTGGGCTTCCCAAAAGAACACAATTCAGTGTTCCTGGGGTGGGTTGGGGGTTGTGATGGGGTTAATGTTGACATAGGGGCAGCTGAGCTCAGTGTTGTGGGGGAACTAGATGAAGGGAGAAAGGGACCTCTTGTATTGGCTAACTTCTTGAATCTCTCTCTCTCCTCCCTCTCTCTCTCTCTCTCTCTCTCATTGGATTGCTGCCTCTCTCAGATGAAGCTGTGTCCCAGAACTGCGGGGTGTTGGTCCACTGCCTGGCTGGCATCAGCCGCTCCGTCACCGTCACTGTGGCTTACCTGATGCAGAAGCTTCACCTTTCGCTCAACGATGCGTATGACCTGGTGAAGCGGCAGAAATCCAACATCTCCCCCAACTTCAACTTCATGGGTCAGCTTCTGGACTTTGAGCGCAGCTTGAAGCTGAAGGGCGAGGGGCCCAGGGACCAGAGGGATGGAGAGGGCGTGGGGGGGAATCATACCCCAACACCCCCCTGTTTCTTCACCACACCCACCGGTGAAGGCGTCTTTGAACTGGACTCTACCTAAGGAATGGGGCTGGGATGGGGTTTGGGGGTGGAGGTTAAGGACCACTGTCCATTGAGAATTGCTTGCCCCCAAACCCAGGGGACTCCACCAAAGTTGGGTGGACCCCAATACCTCATATGAAGAGACAAGAGCTAAGAACCTAGAACCTTTTGCCATTTCCTACCCCCTTTAAAGTGGTGAAAGGGGAAAGACCTTTTCTATCCACTTGAAAAACCAAACTTCAGCAAGAATCTGAACGTGCCTATTGACAGTAATGTTGATACTGCTGCCCCCCACCCCCACTCCTGGAGCCCCCAGCCAGGGCACAGAACCCTTTGGGGCTCACTCGAAAGCCCTCCTTTGGAAGGTGGCACCGTTCTGGATGCCCTGCCTCTTCTATGACTGGAGGGCCGGAGTTGGGGGTCGATTCAACAATTCAAGGCAGCGTGCACTCCTGAAGTGCCTGCTCGGTGCCGGCTCTGTGGAGGTTGGGGCTGGGGTCGCCTTAGAAGTGGAGTTTTTCCAACCTGGCCGGTTCTTCAAGCCCTGCATCTGGGGCTTCTTAATGACTCAGGCAGCGAACCTGTGACCTAGAACCGGCGCCTCCTTCCTCCCCGCCCCCTTCCTCTCCAGGAAAGCTCTCGAGCCACCTCAAGCTACAGAGCAGCAGCAGGCTGTGGACAAAGTGAGGCCCACTGAAGAGGTTAAACCTCCCACTTCAGGTGGGTCAGGCCACGCAATACCAGGTCTAGAACCTGGACCTTCAAGACCCAGGTCAGGAAAATCCACTTCTATACCTTGTCCAGAACTTTGTTTGAGAGCCATACTTTTTCCCCTAAATAGGCCGGCTCTTGGGGTATCTGGGACTCAGATCTGAAACCTGCCGCTCTAGAACTGAGATGTTCCAGGCCCCACATCACCATGCCATACCTCAGCCATCAACTTGGTGGTGGTTTTGTGTGCACGCGTGTGTGTGTGTGTGTGTGTGTGTGTGTGTGTGTGTGTGTGTGTGTTCTGAGAAGGGGGAGGGGAGTGTGGGCATGGTTCTGTACCAGGAGAACTTCCTGTGGGGAATTCTGAGCACTAGAAATGGAATAGCTATCAGAGAAGGAATGTCCGTGTATTTCATTTTTCAGGGGGGAGGCTGGAAGGACTTTGGGGGATTTGGGCAGGGTGGGGGGTGGAGAATTGGAGCTGTGAGTCAGATTCCAGACCCAACATCTGGCTCTCTGACTATTTATATACTAGATTTTTCAAAGAGGTTGTTTTTTTGTTTTCGTTTTTTCTCTTTCCCTAGATCTGTCTTAGAGGGGGCAATTGGATAGGGGTCTCTTTGAGACGGAGGACGATTAAACAGTGGCTAATTGTAGTTGGTATTTCTAAGCAGGCAGGTCAGGAGCTTTTTTGGGGAGAGAAAGAACTGGTGAAAAATCAGTGGAGACAAAGAGAAAAAAGTCCATGTACAGTGTTGCGGTTTGTTTGATTTTTTTGTTTCGTTTTGTTTTGTTTTGTTTTTGGACGGGAGGAGGGGAGTACTTAAGACACACACACTCATACACACACACACAGACACACCCAGGCATGTACACTGTGAGCAGACACAGACGTACACAGTCTCGTACACACAGTGTTGGGCCAGGGCAGAACCAGCAGGCATGGATGGTGCAGCCATGGGCTTCGGCTGAGCCTTCTCACCCTCCTGTATGGGAGAAGGGACATGGCGTTTGGCTTCTCTAACATATTGGCAGATTCAATTTGTAATAAACATTTTATGGAGAAAAAAAAAAACAAGGAAGGCACCATTTTTATCATCCTTGGGGAGGAAGGTTTGTGGTGAAGGGCAAGGCTGCTGTGAAGGCAGACCTGTGTTCTAATCAAAATCTTCATTCTCAATTTCATCCACACCTGGTTTTCAGTAAGAAAGTTATTATAATGATCAATATTATCATCTATTTCAATCAGTGTTGTCAGAAGCATCATCGTGGATATAAGCTAAGCTTCTTCGAGTCCCAGATTCCAAGCTGCTGATTGTGTTTGTTTTAGCACCAAGGCTTTGTTCAACTTGGAAGGAATCCTCTAGTGGTGTGCCCTAGGGCTGGCTCTCTCCTTGATATATTAAAAATAACTGATATTTATACAGAACCTTCAAGTTTGCAAATTGCTTTATTTACCTTCTCTGATTTGAGTCTCATAAGATCGCCAGGTGTTATTATCCCCATTTTACAGATGGGGAAACTGAGGCTCAGAAAGTTGCCACAACTTGTCTATACTCATACAGTGGAGCATCGGGGGCCAGATTAAACTCAAGTTTTCCTGATTCCAAGTCTAGCACCCTAGCCACTAGATTACCAGATTATCTCTCCTGCTCTTGCTCCTGGCCTCTTTTGGACCTTTTCTTTTTTTTTTAGTCTATGGTTTGGATGTAGGTATGGATGGCATGTTTATCACATTTGTAGATTATATGAAACTGGGAAGGGTAGCCCATACATTGGATAGCAAAGCCAGGATCCAAAAAAGATAGGCTAGCATGGTAGGTTGAATTTAATAAGACAAATATAAGATAAGGAAGAAACGGTCAGATAATAGTTCTTGTTTAAAAAAAAAAAAGGCCTAAGTGGTACCGTGGATAGAGGGCCTGTCTGCCTCAGTTACTTCATCCATAAAGTGGAGATAATAATAAAACTTACCAAGGCTTTGGTTGGTGTTGTGTAGATAAAATAAGATACTATTGAAATTCTGGGATCCATCTAGAAGCTGGTGACCAGGATGGTCCAACCGGTATGAGAAATGCTTTGAGGAAATAGTAGGTATGGGGCTAATAGACCCTGGGGATGGTCAAGAGAAACCACTGGGGATGGTAAAGAGAGGGTTCCTGTTAAGATAGCGGGTTGGCTAGATGACCTTAGCGTCTACTCCAATTTGCAGATTCTGTGACTCAAGCAAGATTCTGTGGCCTTCAAGCATGGGGCCAATTGTAGCCCAATGGGTGGTATTTCTGTTGCTTGAGGACCAGCCCAGTTAGGTTCAAAGACTCAACACCAAACTGACCATGATGGATTGACTTTTTCAATCCCATCAACTTTCATAGCTTCTAATTGGAAACCTCCAGTGAGAGGAAATCTACTGCCTTCCAAGGCAGCCTATTCTACCTTAGGTGAGTCTAATTATTAGGAAGTTTTTACTGACTTAAACTAAAATTGACCTTTCTGAAACTCTCATCTTTTTTGCTGACTTCTTCCCTCTCTGGCTAAGCAGAATGAGCTTGACTCAACATGACAGCTCTTTAAATAATTCAAGCTAGTTCTCTTGTCACCCCCAAATCTTCTCCAGGCTCAAAGTCCCCATTTTCTTCCACCAATCCTCACATTGGATGATCATGAGACCTTTATCCCATTCACCCTCCCTTTTGCTCTCTCCAATTTGTCAATGTCCTTTTGAAAATGTAGCACCCACAAAGATAGAAAGATCCCATATACATGAAAATATTTATAATGATACTTTTTTTGTAGTAGCAAAGACCTACAAGGTAGATACTCATCAATTGGAGAATAACTAAACAAGTTGTAAAGCATAAATGTAATAAAATATTACTATGTCATAAGAATATAAAGAATTCAGAGAAATATGGGAAGATATATGAACTGATGCAAAGCAAAGTAAGCAGAACCAAGAAAACAATTTACACAATTACTACAATATAAATAGGGAATAATAACAACTGAAACTGAACACTGTATAGTTATGATAATTAATCTTGGCCCTAAAGAAGAGAGGAGAAAATGCACCTCCATCACTTCTTTTCAGAGGTGGGGAACTATGGGTATTGAACACTGCATACACTGTCATATTCCATTAATGTATTGATTAGTTGTGCTGGGCTGCCTTTTCACTCTCTTTTTTCTTCTTTCTTAGAAAGGATGGCTTCATGGGGAAGGAAAGGAGAGGATATATTTGAAATGAAGGTGATGTAAAAAAACAAAATCTCCAAAAAAAGTTTTTAAAGTAAAAGGAAATGTAGCACCCAGAATGTTCTAGATGTGCCCTAGCCAGGACAGAACACAATGGGACTTCACCTCCCCTGTCCTAGGCACTACGTTTCTCTTAATGTGGCCAAAGATTTCCTTAGTTGTCTTGGCTTCCATATCACACTCACGTCATACTGAGCTCGCAGCTCACTAAAAACACCAGAACTTTTTTAGGAGAATCACCATCTAGCCACATCTTCTCCACTTTGTATTTATGAGGTTCATTTCTTGAACTTTATGGAATACTGAGTTCTAGCAAATTTAATTGTATTACTTTTTGGACCAAAATTCTAGCCGTCAAGATTTGCTATCCCTCCAAAAAAAAAAAAAAAGGATTTGCTATCCCTCCCACCTCTGGGCCATCTAAAAATTTGAGCAACATGCCATCTAAGATTTTTTTCCACATCACTGATAAATATGGTATTTAAGTAGCACAGGATCTGGGTCCCTAGGAGACTCCACTAAACCTCTCCTTCCAAGTTGACATTTAATGACTGCTCTTTGGGGTCAACCAGTTCTGTCATAAATGAACCATTTCTCTTTGTCTTGTCCAGAAGTTTAGCATGTGAGACTTTATCAAATTATTTGCTAAAATCAAGGTGAAACAATAATATGATAAACCACTAGCTAATTTAATCTTTAAAAGAGAGAAAACCGGAGTATCTGAATAAAAAAATTAAGAGGAAATCACAACAAATAGCTATAAAACTATAACACATGCAAATTGACAAAACAGGAAATAAGTAACCAAATAAACCCAATTCCAGAAAGAAGAGCTGACTGGTCCAATTGAACCCCAAGGCTTCAAGTGAACTCCCACGAGAAAAAAAAAAGGACTGGGGAGGCTAGCAAAAATGGCAGAGTAGGAGGAAGCATTACAGACCAACTCTCCCTGAGAGTTACTCCAACAAAGCCCTAGGAAAAGCGTCAGATTGAGTCTTGATCCAGAGAGCCAATGAAAAGTCACAGTGATTCATTTTTCCAGCTCTGGTTAGCAGAGGGAGGCAAGCAGAGGCCTGTGGACATGGAGGACAAGGTCTAGGCAGGAAGATACTCTCTACAGAGCCTTCCTGGGGTCTGTGGCTGTGTTCCAAGGGAAGAGGCTATTTGGGATACAACAGGGACAGGTTTTGTCATTCACTGTGCAGAGAACAGGAGCTAACTGGCACCTTTGTCAATGGTATCCCAGAGCTGGGTGGTAGATTCAGTGCATACTGAGGAGAAGATCTGCTTCTAAGAGTGGAAGCAGTCATGGCCTGAGGCTGTGTGCTGGTCAAGTAGCAAGAAATGAAGATCTTCATACATGAGGTACAAAACCTTACCCATGCAATGGACCTCTGGAAAATTAAAATGGATCAAATGGAAGTTAGTATCTCCATGAGACAGCAAGAAATATTAAAACAAAGCCAAAAGACTGAGAAAATAGAAGAAAAAGACAGTATTTTATATCAGAAACTACTGCCCTGAAAAAACAGATCAAAGACAATTTAAGAAAATCTGAAGACCGTGACCAAAATAAGAGCTTGGACATCATATTTTAGGACATTATGAAAGACAGTTTCCCAGGTCTACTGAATAAGAGGGAAATGTGAAAAAAGAAAGAATCTACCAAGCACTTCCTAGAAAAGAAATCCCAAAATGAAAACTTCTAGGAATGTCATAGCCAAAATCTAGAGTTTTCAGCTCAAAGTGAATATACTGCAAGCAGCCAGAAAGGAAGAGTTCCAAGTACTGAGGAGCCACAGTCAAGATCACACAAGAGCTAACAGGTACTACTCTAGAAGAGCAGTGAACTTGGAATACAATACTCCAAAGGGAAAAAGACAAAGACTTACAATAAAGAATAATTTACCCACAAAAATTGAATATAATCCTATGAGGGAGGAAGTGTACATTTAACGAAATAGAAGACTTTCATGTATTCTTGATGAAAAGACAAGATCAAGATAGAAACCTTAAAATACAGATATGAGTCAAGAAAGAAATAAAAAGGTAAGTATGCGAGCAATAGAGGGAAGACTAGGACGAAATATTTATGTATCGGGGAATGTGATAGAAGTGTCCCCACAGAACTGCAATGTTATCAGGGGTCACAGAGGGAGCTAAATTAGACAGAGGACCTAGGATTGGTTTTGTTATATTATGATGATCTTAGAAAAAAAAAATGAAGGATAAAAGGAATACACTAGGATATGGAGGGGGAGGAACTTATACAGCCAGGTTGCTCTTGTAGAAGAATATAAAAACAAAGAGGAAAGACTGAGGGTGGGGTGGGAGACACATGGACTTTGCTTTCATCTGGTCTGCTTAAAAGAGGATAGAATACACACAGAGTTGGGTGGAGAAATACGTTTAACTCAATAGGAAAACAGGAAGAAACAGGGAGAGAGGAGATGGAGAAATAAGGAGGGAATATTCAGGGAGGGCTTAGTCATAAGCAAAACACACTCTAACTGTTGGAATGTGGATGGTGAAGACAGGCTTAAAAGGAAAGAAAGAAAGGATAAGAACCAGTGAGTGGGGTCTGGGTGAGAAGAAAAGAAGAAGGGCAGAGGAAGAAGAGCAGATTGTAATAAGTGTAGGAGCACTGGTGATAAACTCACTCTTCTTTCACCAGCCTCATATTCTTTGTAAAGAAGTGAATGCCAGGAAGAAAAGAGAAAGAAAAGCATAAAAGAATAGAATGGAGGGAAATACATAATCAATGGTCGTAACTTAGAATGGGAATCAGATGAAGTCACGTAAAACAGAAGAGGAAAGCAAAGTGGATTAGAAAACAGAATCTGGTGATCTGTTGTTTACAAGAAACACACTTGAAATGTAAAGATCCACAGTTAAAATAAGGGACTGGAACAAAATAGATTATGCTTCAACTGACAAGGTTAGCAATCATGCCCTCAGACAAGGCAACAGCAAAAATAGACTTAATTTAAAAAAAATTAAATTAAAAGAAAAATTAATTGGAAGAAAAAAATTAAAACAAACAAAAGGAATCTACTTCATAATGGATTATCTGGTGCTGGGCCTGGAGTCCAAAAGACTTGAATTCAAATCCTGCCTCAGACACTTACTAGCTGTGTGACCCTGAGCAAGTCATTTAGCCTCCATTTGTTTCAGTTTCCTCAACTGTAAAATGGGGGTATTAATAGTACCTACCTTGCAGAGTTGTTGTAAAGATTAAATAAAATAATATTTGTAAAAGCTTAACATAGAGCTACATAAATGCTTATTCCCTACTGTACTTATAACTACCATAGACAGTGAATTAATATTAGTATTTAACATCTAGGGACCCAATGTCATAGCATCTAAATACTTAAAGAAAAAGCTAAACAAGTTACAGAGAGAAATAGACAATAAATCCATAATAGCAGATCTCAACATACCCCCTTTCAGAGATAGGTAAACGTAACAAAAGAAAACCAAGGACCCAAATAAAATTTTATTAGATATAATAAACCTCTAGTGATTATTGAATAGGGTTAGAAAAGAGTTTACATATCTCACTCTGTATATGGCACCTTTACAAAAATTGACCAAGTGTTGGATACACCTCACAAACAAATCAGTAGAGCAGAAATATTAAACATAACTTTTACTGACCACAATGCAGTAAAACTTGTATTCACTAAAAGGTCACTGAAGAAAGGATTCAAAATTAATTGGCAACTACATAACAATCCTAAAAAAATTATTGGGTCAAAAAGCAAATCATAATAATGATGGATAATTTCATTAAAGGTGACAATGAAAGAGCATGCCAACATTTTTGGGATGCAGCCAAAACAGTCCTTAGGGGAAAGTTATATCTCTAAACGCTTTCATCAACAAAAGAGAGAAAGAGCAAATCAGCAAATTGGGCAAGCAGATTTTAAAAAAAGAAAATTTATGAAAGATTTATGAAAAAAATGGAAAAATTCCAATTAAACACCAAAATAGGTATTCTGAAAATCCAAAAAAGAGATTAACAAAATTTCAAGCAAAAGTATCCATTGAATTAATAAACCTAAGAGCTATTTAAAAAAAAAAACTAATGAAACAGATAAACTATTAGGAACTTTTATTTTAAAAAAGAAAGAGGAAGACCAAATTACCAACATAAAAATGATGCGAATTTGCAAGTGAGGCAGAAATAAAAGAAATTATTAGGAACTATTTTGCCCTATTCTATAAACCAAATAAAATGGATGAATAGTCACAAAAGTGTAAAATGCTTAGGTTAACAGAACAAGAAATAGAGAATTCAAGTAACCCAATCTAAAGAAATTGAACAATCTATAAATGAACACCCAAAGGAAAAAAATCCTGGGGACCAGATGGATTAACAAGCAAATTCGGTCAGACATTCAAACTATAATCGATTGTGATTGTTTGCAGAAATAATAAAAGATGTGATCCTACCAAATTCCTTCTATGACAAAAAATACAGTCTTGATGCCTAAACCAGGAAAAGCCAAAACAAAGAAAGAAAATTATGAAACAGTATCCTCAATTATGAGACCATATT